TGATCAAGTAAGCCGGAGATTTTAGATAATTTGGCCTGTTTCAAATTAAATGCGAGTTAAACAGAAGAACAGAGAATTCTAATGAGGCTACAACAAGGCCCAGATCATTGACAAGATACGATAAAAGTGTTCTTTTGTGGTCATCATTTGAGTCAACGGGGTATGTGGTGGGAAGTTTCGGGACATAGGCAGGTTCCTTAGTGTTGCATGTCGGACGCATTGTCACCCCAGACGACGACCAGTCATTTATTGGCCTGGGGATGGGAGGGCATCACCATAGCATTTCTGCCACTGAATCGGCTGCTGGCCATTGCTGATAGCAGTTGACTCATATCGTCTGCACAGCTAGTGGTGCTATTATTTTGTGAAGCTCGAAAACGGGTAGATTTTAAGGGGGTTTTCAGTGCGTAGACTTTTCATAGAAAGCTGGATAGGTGCTACTTACGCTGGATTTTATGCCACAGCCAGGATGGGTGTAAGGCCCCTTATTCTGAACACCCATAGGGATAGTTTTGGGTTTATTCACATTGAGTTGTGAACTAAAGTACGTTTGCGGTGCACTGAAGTTATATTCCTGGGTAGACAAAAACTATACGGCGGGATGTGGCATGAAAAACCCATTGTTATTTCTTGAAACCGTATTCCCTGTGGTGGTACGCTTTGCTTGCTTGCTGTCGCTGCTTAGTTCAGTCCACTGGGTGCTTTCAACCCTGGTCGATACCGTAACTACCCGAGTTTACCATGACCCCTGTTCGGTATGACTTCCTTCTTAGGACAGCTGGCACAGTCTTACACCTAGCTTACAGTCTTAATGTGCGGTATATAGGGTCCCGCTGCCGTTTTGAACGACTCCTTTCTGTCGAGAACAGGATCGTTAAACACAGAAATGATGAGTAAGATCAAATTTTATGTTATCATGTGCGACAGGTGAGTTTGGATGAAGAAGCTGCGAATTCTTTTCTACTCTCACTCACTTCTTATGGTATTCAGAAGTGGTTACTCGCAGATTGGCTATAGGACCTACGGCATACGTAATTGGTCTCGTGGTCGACAGTCATTTGGCCATCTTCTAACTCCTCACATGCGAGAATGTCTGAGGACCATCTTTCTGTCAAGACTCTCCTCCATGGTAGTGAAATGAGTGGACACACGTGTTGGGTTTGCTAATGGAAGGTCTTTTTTCCCAGCCCTACTTGGGGACCTTATACCCACAGGTGGTTTCGTCCAGCACTGAGGGCAGCTGTATCAGATCCACGTGCATGAGCGGTACTTCGCGAAAGAATGATATTTATCCGGCACATCTTTGTCACATTGGCAATTTATCAAACCACTGCTGAAGTTGATCTTGGAGGCTGCGTTGGTTTCGGCTACAGTGAGGCCACTTTTGTAGGGATCAACCCCATGGCCGGAGAATTCGGTTAAGGGCCTCCTCCATATTCTTTTTCGTTTCTCTTGAGCGGCTTATGCAAACAAGCTGGGGTTTGATATAGGTGTGCCAGCAAGGTTTTGTTTTCACTTGCTGATGGCAGAGGTGTTTGGAGAACTGTGACTCAAAAAACGCGACTATACCGTGGCACTGCCATTCATGATAGTTCTACTGATTCTGACCCATACAGCGAGATAGAATTCTCTGAGCCGTCAACGCGCGTCTTAGATCCAGATCCAGTTACTACTAGGAAAGATATAGTCAGCAGGCAAGTTGAAGTTATATTTGGGGTGTTTTCGAGATCAGACGTTGCCAGTCCACCCTTTTTACTCATATCAACAAACAGATACGAAAAGACACGGCAAGAGTGAATAAAAATCCGTAAAACGAGAAAGAGTGGATAACCCATGATGATATAAAAATAGGTTGTCAAACTTACCTCCAGTTGTCTATTCCTGCCACCGATCGACGCTAAAACTTGCCAAGAAGTTACAGATATACGACCTACAGATGTGCGTCATGCCGTAGGTGCAGTAGACTGAGCTTTAGCAGCTGATGGACACAACTAGTTCGACTACGCGGCGGTCTGTTTGCAGAGTGATAGCAGTGACCAAGTAACAAGCTTCCGTTCAACCGTTACATTGGGGGATGCGCCTTTTTTTAGAAGAGTGAAGATGAAGATTACCACGTGGGTAGTCGCAAATAGAATTTCAGGATGGTTTCATACTGTATCTTTCCAGAGCAGTTTACAGTTTTTGAATCGATACATTTTGCTCTAGTCCTCAAGAAAAGTAAGACTCCGTGAAACAGGTCCAGATAGATCCAAATAAGCAGGTAGTTAAATAACAAAAGCAAAAACAGCACCCAGAATGCCCAAAAAAGTAGAATCCCTAGTGTAAAAATCATGGGAGTATAAGTAGAATGTCTTTTTGGTGCTTGGTGTCCCTTATTATCTCACTTATTTCGCTCGGTCACCAAAGGACTTCATCTCAAAGTTTCATCCGATGGGACATCACAAAAGAAATGGATATGATGTGGCGTATACAGTAATATTCAAATTATAGACGCTCCAATGTAGAAAAAAAGTGAAGGACGCATCACCAGATTCTTCAAAAGGAAGTTCGGATTTGCATTGGTATTACTGAGCATTCTCAATAGCCGGCGAATAGGTATTATGACACTCTAGAATTTAGCCCGATAACCTAGGGTCAGTTGGCGTTCTGTTCCAAAAATTGCAGTTTCCATATTCGACCATATCTCGAAAAGAACTTGGTCATTATGTCACAGCCTCTTGGATTAAGGTGTTGTCCTGTTAGTTTAACAATGGAAACAGTGGGGCGGTTAGATCAGTAAGTAGGATGCCTGTATTGTGCTTGAGTTTGTCGTATCTGCTACCTGTACACTACAGACAAATTAGGCGGATATAATTATGGTATATCACTTCTCTAACAGCCCATCTCACCTTCATTACCACATCTGAAGTGTAACTCAAAACCTAATCCCATAGTATATCATTTTTAAATTGGAAAATAATGAACCTACTCAAAAGTCTGTGCCCACCATTAGGCAGAGGGGGTATGTTAGCTACGGGACCCCATTATGTTGGACATCCACTTCACTGTAAACTTATCAAACAAAAAGGAGATGCCTACGACGGCACCATTGAGTACTCCAGGCACTAAGGTGCATAATCAGGCCTTTAGAAATTGTTTTCAAGCGAATCTAACGGACGTGGAGGTCAATCACTAATTCTTCGTACTCGTGGAATATTCATGGGTGTGAAACCACGGAGGTGCACAACTGAGTAGCGAAACAGGCAGGACGTATTCGACAGATCATGGGAAAATACCGATGCTCCCCGACTACCTCTTCAGATGGTCGCGTACGAGGAACGGAACGTGACGCAACAACGTGACAGGCGTCGACCATGCTTGATCGTGTGTCTTTGCTCTAACCAGTTCACTCAAAAGAAATGTTGAATCTTGTCGATCGCTAAACTACATATTTTGCAGAATCATCTGCATTTACGGTCCTAAATGAGTCCCACCCTTGATTATTAAGCAATACTAACGTCATCCTCAACCTCGCCTGGTTAACTAGTTCACTAGTTACTAGCCGGTCCTAAGCCAGGATGTAGAGGGAAGTTTAGGCGTAGGGCCAGCAACCCTACCCCGTAAAACAAGTCCAACCTCTAAAAAAACTTCAAAGCACAAACAAAGTATAAAAAATAAAAACAAACTTATTCCTCACTGGAATCGGACAGGCGAAATGATGCCGCTTGGTGAAATCCTTCTAGAAGCCAAATGGCCGATGTGTCTTCTCCAGGTGAAACCGAAAGTAAACGTGGGGACATGGAATGTCCGCACCATGTCTGAACCTAGCAAAGCCACCCAGATTGTAAATGAGATGAGAAGGTATCACATTGAAGTGCTTGGGATTTGCGAAGGCAGATGGAATGGGAGTGGACTCACCAAACTGTCAACTGGAGAATCAATAATCTACTCCGGTCACCCAGACGACAACCACCAGCACACTGAGGGAGTGGCTATCATGATGTCCCCAACAGCATCGAAGGCTGTCTCTCATGCAGTGGGAACCAATCTCCTCCAGGATCATGACAGCAAGATGGTTTCAACTCAAAAGGAAGGAAGGTCACAATCATACAATGCTATGCACCTACAAACAATGCAGAGCAAGAGAAAAAGGAGGATTTCTACAGACAACTTCAATCAACACTGGACAAGACGTCAGTTGGCGATATCAAAATTCTAATGGGCGACATGAGTGCCAAACTGAGAGGGGACAACACAGGAAGAGAACTAACCATGGGTCGAGAGGCGCTCGGTGAAATGAACAAGAATGGAGAATTGTTTGCAGAATTCTGTGCATTCAACAGTTTGGTGATTGGGGACACTGTGTTCAAGCACAAAGATATCCACAAAGTGATATGGATTTTACCAGATAAACGCAGTACACTAAAAATCAGATCGACTTCATCTCAGTCTCAAGAAAGTAGAGACTCAGCCTACTTGACACAAGGTTAAGAAGGGGAGAAGATGTAGGTTTACACCACTCACTATCTAGTGCAAAGAACTTTCAAAATCAAGTTGAAAGCTTTCAAGGAAGTTGGTGATAGACGACCACAGTTGAAGTTCAACACCCAGAACAGAGACTGAAGGGAAAAACTACAAAGGAAATCTTCACGTAAGCCATCAAGACAAAGTGGGAGATATCGAGCAACATCCCTGAAGAAACCTGTGTGGATGAGCACTGGAACTCTTTGAAAGCTATGTGGAAAGAAACCTGCATAACTGTGTTAGGGAGGAAGAAGAAAGAAGATAAGGAATGGATCTCGACGGATACCTGGAAGCTGATAGAGGAGATGAGGATGGTGGAGCAGAAGATAAACCAGTGCAAAGATGAACGACGAGAAGAGGGACTGAGTACAACGTATAAAACACTGGACAAAGAAGTGAAGAAGAGTGCACGCGACGACAAAAGACATTTCTTCGACACATTGGCAAGTGAAGCAGAACAGGCTGAGAGCTGGTAGGAGAGACCTGACAACATTGTATCAAATAACCAGGTTACTATCTGGGAAGAGATTAACACAGATGAAACCAATAAAGGATAGTGAAGGAAACCCAGCTACCAAAGATGAGAAACAAAGGAAACGATGGGGTGACCACTTCGAAAAGCTCTTGAATCGACCACCATCTGAAACTTGTCCAGAAATACCACCAGCGACAGCGGAACTACAAGTAAATACAAGCCTTTCGACGAAAGTCGAAGTCCTGAATGACATAAGGCTACTGAAATAAGAGAAAGCAGCAGGACCAGATGGAATCCCGCCAGAAGCACTGAAAAAAGACACAAATACATTAGCGGACATGCTCACACCGCTGTTGCAGAAGGTCTGGAAGGAATTACAGGTACCTGCTGATCGATTGGAAGAAGGGCTTTTGTCAAACTACTGAAGAAGGGAGACCTTAGTGTTTGCAAGAACTGGCAAGGAATCGTGTTCCAACTCTGTCCAGCCCAAACAAAATATTAAGCCGCGTCATCCTGGAGAGACAAAAGGATGCGCTGGATCCCAAACTACAACCGGAACAGACTGGCTGGATTCACGAAGTAATAATAATAATATTTACTCCTGGATATACAGGCACACACCATTTTTACAGGTATGAATAAGTTTATGCACAAATTACACGTATCTTCATGGAAGGTGCTGAGAGAGCATATACTCTGGATGAGCTAGCTAGTGCGCGACTCTCTTCATTCCTCAGACGCAAATCATGGTTGTGCGAGATAGAGTTAAGAGTACCAAGAATCAGCCAAGGTGTATCGGTGTCGTGATGTCTGTAGTATCTTGTTGAGAGTTTGCCTAGCTTTCTACGAGCATTGGGAGGTATATATGGCTTATTGTTTAGCGGCATTTTTTTGAAACCTTTCAGTGGAACGATGGTATCGAGACAGGTTTAAGAGTTGTAGTAAAATATATCAGTGGTTAGTTAGAGGTCTGTAGTGGTGAAGAAAGATCCGCAGTCAATGCACCTAATCATTGGACACATCTGCTGCTAATCCGTACTACCGTAGTCTCTATATACTATTTGGTGCGTAGTGGAAGTACCAATTGAAGTACTAGTTGCAGGAAGTGGTAGTGGGCATAATACCGTTTTGTGATCACTTCCTGGGAACTTGGAGCCTACATTTGTCAAAATAGGAACCATGTTATGGTAAAATATTAAGTCCAATGCATTGTCACCCCTTGTAGGAGTTGTAACACTTTGCTCCCATCCAAAAATAGACAGTGTATGGAAAAAGTAGCCATACCTAGCCGGACCAGTAAGTGAATCCCACTTAGTTTCAGGCTGGTTAAAGTCACCGCATATGATCTCATGATCATATGGGAGAGTGGATGCATGTTCCAGAGCCGTAATCAATGGAATCTCATGTTTGTTAAAGGTACCAGGTGCTTCGTAGACACATCCCACCAATGATGTAACATTCCTGTGATGTACTGTGACCCATAGAGAGTCACTTTATCAAGAACCATATTTTCCAACCTGAATACGGTGAGAGTGTTCAGGAAGTACATCAGGCAACCACCTCCTTTCTTGTTACTCCGGTCGTATCGAAATTGTGTGTACATGTCAATACTTATCTCGTCATCTGGTATATTTGCGTGAAACCAAGACTCAGTGATAATTATTGCCAGCGGCTTATGTATGAGCGCGATTCCTCTAAATACCGACAGTTTGCCAAGGATGGACCTCGCGTTTATGAGAACGATGTATAAATAAGAGGAGTAATAATGTGTAAAGCTTTCTAATTCGCTAAACAGGCCAAGAGGTATCTCAGTGTCGCTTGACTGAGTATAGTTTAACGTCGTTGTGTTACAGAACGTCTCTACGCCTTGTTCACTTGTAGCCGTAGAGTTACTAGGATATCCTAGTGGTAAATCGACCGCACAGTGACTTGAAACAGTATCATCTTTATCGGAGGAGAACGGAGCAATGTTTTTATTTGTGTTCAGCGTGCACATTGTATTCAAATAGGCAGATTTTGACCTCATGCAAGCATCGTCTCTAGTATCTGTTACGCAGAGGGTAGGTAGTTTTACTGTCGTACGTAGTGTGTGTGTGCGGCTGGTGATGCCACCTGGAGGATTCAGTAGACCTGTTGTGCTTTCGCATCTGTTGACGCCACTTGGGTAGTTGGTGTCTAGGATTTGTGTCTCTTCTGTTGCTCCGACAGCGCTAAGATTAGAGGTTCAGAGTAAGGGGTTTCAACATCCCCATCAGTTGTTTGGCCAAAGCTGCAGCTGGAAGGGACGTTATGGATAAAAAATCGTGTTTTTGTGGTCCATGTAAGCCTCTTTTCTGCGTTGTATTCCTCACCAGTGACCGCCTTCTGTTACTATTCGCAATGGACGTAACTGGATCGGGGGCTGTTTCCTAGTGCCATGCAGCCGATCAAAGTTTTTCCCCACAAAGTACCCCGTTGACATTCTATTATAGTTGGTTCGATGTTGGCTTTTCTCATTAGTAAACGAAAGGGTTGTGTCGTGACGTCTAATTTTGTTCTGGTTACTAGTGAGACGTAGCTCAGTGCATTGAAGCTTCTTATTGGAGCTGGTGTTCGTATTTCTGTCAGTTCCAGAAGGGATCATGGGATCATTGTATGCTTTCTGCGTCCATCTCTAAGTGTTGGGCTCCGTGGGAGCATTGGTTTATCTGTCGCATATCGAGTCGCCGGTATCCAAGGCCCTGGTCTGTGTGGTTAGTGGATTTTAGGCCTGCAGCAGATCTCAGTGAGAGTTCTGTCACGTTTAGTGCTACGTCAGGTTTCACTTTAGGGCTTTCTGTGGATACGTCTAGATCTACAGTTTTAGGTGGTTGAGCCAAATCATGCATTTCGCAGTCTTCCGTCTCCACATTGGTCGATGTGTCTTTCCGTATAATTGGCTTGAGAGAGTTTGCGGATGGAGAAGTCCTAGGCTTGGGTATATTGGAGGAGATACCTACTGCTTTAGTCTGTTGCAGCTTTGGAGCCTTTTGACTGTCAGGTCTATGAGCACAGTTGTACACCTGCCTCCCCACCACTGTCTTATCAAGAACTATCTTTATTCCTGTAAAGATAGTGATTCTGCTTCGACAAATTCTTCCGCTTCTTTCTGTGATTTAAACTGGAAACGTATCGGACAGCAGTGGTACTGCTGGCTCTTTTTAGTCGAAAACATTTTGCATGGATATCAAGCATTTTTGCTGTTTTAAGCAAAATTTCTCGTATTGCCTTCAACTTTGTCGTGTCAGGGACGTTGTAAACTATTGCGTTCAATTTAAGTGCAAGTCCCTTACTTCAGTGGTGATAAAGTTTACCAGGTGACCCACCTTGGCTAGTGTTAACATGTCAACTTTATTAATGGATTCGCTACGCTTCAAGATGCTCAGTGGCAAGAGGTTGCTAATCTGAGCTCTAATTTCATCCAGCTGAGGTGACACCTCGAAAGCCCTTACCATACTTTCTTGTGGTGCATTATTCTGCTCGTCAACATTCAGTCTGCGTATTTCTGACCTTAGTTCCTCTATAGAGGACTTCAGGCTTTCGATTTCTGGAAGAAGTGGCAATGACACACTTGGTGTCTGAAGTCTAGTTAGTCACACAAAAGACGTGGAGCTTCCGTCAAGCTTTACATCTTCTGCAACATTTAGTGTTGCGGCCTTATTACATGTTGGGCACGCAGAGTTGTTTCTATTATTATTCAAGTTGGCTATCTTATCGAACGCAGTCCCTCTTCTCTTGAGCATAACTGGAGTACAAGCTGACTCACTTATGCTGTTGCAAGAGGAATCTGCTTTCAGTGTCACCAACAATGGGTATTGTTGGTGCATTGTTCCACACACAGTTCTGTCCATGCCTTTTTACATTCATTAAACATATCTAGTTACATATCTGATGTGTGATTAGTCATTTAAGAATTCAATAGCTTTATGATGGCGTTAACAACAAAGTTATGATACAGTTACGAAATCACGTTAGAATGTAAAGCAATTTCAAACGTACCGCTTCCTATTTTCACAAATCCACCGACAAAAGTTGAAGTCCTAGGCGCCATAAAGCTACTGAAGTGAGAGAAAGCAGCAGGACCAGATGGAATCCCGCCAGAAGCACTGAAAAAAGACACAAATACATTAGCGGACATGCTCACACCGCTGTTGCAGAAGGTCTGGAAGGAATTACAGGTACCTGCTGATCGATTGGAAGAAGGGCTTTTGTCAAACTACTGAAGAAGGGAGACCTTAGTGTTTGCAAGAACTGGCAAGGAATCGTGTTCCAACTCTGTCCAGCCCAAACAAAATATTAAGCCGCGTCATCCTGGAGAGACAAAAGGATGCGCTGGATCCCAAACTACAACCGGAACAGACTGGCTGGATTCACGAAGTACAAATCATGTGTGGACCGAATTGCAACGCTTCACATCATCATAGAACAGAGCACAGAATGGCAGCCAACTGCCTACCTCAACTTCATTGCCTTCGAAAAGGCCTTCAACAGCGTCGAACGAGAAGTAATTTGGCAGTTACTACCACACTACGGAATACCGCAAACCTGTATCAGCCTCATTCAACAACTATGTGAAGACGCCACATGCCAAGTAATTCACAATGGGAAGCTCAGTGATGCCTTTGAAGTGAAGACAGGAGTAAGACAAGGCTGCCTACTATCACCCATGATATTCCTGACTGTAGTGGACTGGATCATGCAACAAATTATGAGGAGTGAGAAGGGGGGATACGCTAGACTGGGGAAAAGATCCTAGAGGATTTGGATTTCGCCGATGACTTGTGTCTGAATGTCTCAGAAACTCGAAGATCTACAGGCGAAAACTAACAAGTTGACAAAAGGGGCAGCGAAGACGGGACTTCAAGTGAATGTAGAAAGAAGGAGGTGATGAAGATACCGAACCAACACCACCACCGACAACAACAAGTACCAATCACCACCAACGGTAGAAACTTAAAGGAAGTAGCCTCTTTCACCTAACTAGGCTGGGCAGCGCTGTTTCGACTACAGGCGGCGACACAGACGAGGACGTCAAAGCCAGGATTGGAAAAGCAAGGCAGGCGTTCATTAACCTGAAACCAGTGTGTAGATCTGCTGCACTCAGCATGTGGAACAAGATCCGGATTTTCAACACCAACGTCAAGTCAGTGCTTCTGTATGGTTCAGAGACTTGGTGCGTTACGGAAAGCCTTCCCAATGAACTACAGATATTCATCAACAACTGCCACCCACGCTCACTCGATACTGAGCATCAGATCAGATGGCCAGAAAGAATAAGCAACAAGGAACTCACTCTGCCTGGCAACGAACCAACCAAGAACCTATCGCTCAACAAATATGCAGAAGGAAATGGAGATGAAATGGGGATACACTGAGAAGACCGTTCGGGGACATCACGTGCAGGCCAGTTGCTCGAGTGGAACGCAGATGGGAAACGGGGAGTTGGGCGTCTGTGACGAGGGTGACATAGAGGAGATGGTGTGAGGTAGAAATGAGAGCTTCTGGGCAGTCGTGGAGCCAGGTTCAAAAGATTGCAGAGAACAGAGTGGAATGGAGACGTGCTACTGAATCCGTAAGCTCCATTAGGAACCCAAGGGACCAATAATAATAATGAAGATAATAACGTCATCATTGCTTCTTCGACAACCCTGGCAAAAGCAAACAAGGACAAACTGATATCTAGCGGTTATATCCGAACTCAGATTTGTGGTTTGAGTATAAGAGGTTGTGGGCTTGTGCTAATTAATTTCCGGCAGACTTGTGTGCTTTTTTACTCCCTTTTGGAACGAGTCAACTGTTGATGTGTGCACCACTTTTTCTGAGAGTCGGTTCCGGGAATCGGTTAATTGACTCGAAAACCCGTACGAAACAGAGAATGTGTTCGCTCTTTGCTTTTGTATTCTCCTGCTATGTCCCCCAAGGTCTCCAGAACCAGTGGGAACAAAACGGAAGACAGATCAGGCCCAAAGGCGTTTATTAGAATCCTATATAGCATGCATAGGTCTCCCCTCTGTCCGCGATGGGATGAGGCGAAGAGGCTCAGTTCCTTAGGTCGATCCGAATGTGCGAGCCCAACCTTCGCAAGGGTCGTACGAGTGACTGCCCTCTGAGCTCTTTCTAGATGGTCTTCATCGCCTTTCAGACAAGGATTTGCCACCTTCGTGCAGTTTTCTGATTTAGACGTAACTGAGGGCGTGCATATGTTGGTGAACATGTCACCACTTATTTTCATAAATGCCCAGTGTCCCAAAACTCTGAGCTGCTACTTATCTACAGTGCGCCATGGTTTTCGAATCGTACTTCACTGTGACTCCTGGGTCATTGTGGGTCACCACTGACGATAGGGGAGTCCCATTGGTATCGTAGGTGTTGCCACTTGTGCGCCTTAAGTGAATGCTCACACGTTTATCTGCGTTGGTAGGCATCAGCCACGTCTCTGACCAGGTAAACAAGCTGGTTGCACCTGTTGGAAGCACACGTATATCCTGATCGTTCCTAATTTCCTGCCAGACTTTTGCATCATCAGCGCAAAGAACCATAAATGATTTCGTTATAACTGGCGGCTCATTTACGTATAGGAAACGCAGCAGGGAACCCAGGACTTTCACTTGCAGTCTTCCCCTCTCTGCCAACTTTCAACAGGGGATCTAAGAACTGATTTCTACTCTTTGTCTCCCACAAACAAGGAACCTTCCTATCCATGCAAGCGGACTGCCAGTGATTCGAAAACTTTCGAATCTCCCGAGCAACTTGAAAGGGTGTACTTTGTCGAACGCCTTACTAAAGTCCAAGAAAATTACATACACAGGTATCCTATCATCTTTAGACTTGAACCAACTTTCTGTGACTGTAAGTAGGCTCATCAAACAAGAGAAATTTTAGCGAAAGCCATACTGCAGGCGAGACGATAGTGTGATGGCTTTCATGATTTCTATTTCTAAGATTTTTACCACAGTACTAGTCACATTTATAGGTCAGTAATTTTAATTTGTGCTGCCTAGAACCTGCCCTGTAGATAGGTGTTACTGTGGCATCCATCCAGTTATAAGGGAGTGTGCCTTCACTGATGGATAGTTTAAATATAGTAGTCAGTGGGCCGACTACATACAGTGAAAGCTCTCTGAACAGTTTTGGGCGCACCTCATCCGATACCGTCGACTTTCCACGTCAGCAGTACTTGATGTCCGAAATACATAGTTGGGATCGACATCCACAAAGCTTATTCTGTCAATCCCAACGATCTTCAGGAGGAAACCTCATTAAGATAGCACACCAGAGAGCCAAAACCACACTCAGGTCCAAATTGTTCTCCCTAAGAGTATGTGCTTTATGGAATGCCTTACCGCGACACGTCGTTATAGCTCCTTTAGTCGACTCTTTCAAGAGGCAATTAGACAGTTATGTCACCTCGCATGGACTACCACGGACGTACTCAGGTAGTCACCAACCTCAGTACCCCCCCCCAACTCCCTCCTAACTACCACTCACTATCTCTCTCCTTAATACACCCACATTACCTACTGATTCTCCCGTGGGAACCAAACCCACGCGACCATTAGGGCAATTTTCAAATACTTTTCTTTCGTTCTCTTTTCGACCCTCCTTTTCTTCTCCTTCCCTTTTCTCTTCCCTATATTATCATTATTTTTCCTCTCTTTTTTTCATTTTTTTCTTTATTCTCCCTTCATTCCTTTACCACTACCTGACTATTCTCTTTCAGGTACCTACACAGACAGGAGTCACGGCAGTTCTCTAAACTTCCCAGCAACCCGTAGCTCCCTAATCACTCTACAAATTACCACCTACTAACCCACAAAACATCCACCTCACCGAAGCTAAAAGCAAGAAAGCAGAGGGGATTTTCTCATCCACTGCAGGAGTGAACCGAATAACTCGAACCAAGCCCTAAGAACTAGACGCGAGAGATCAAAAAGTACCAGTTTTCTACACTCGCACTATCAATATTGGATATATTGGGAGATGCAAGGAATTCACAGTTTGCAATACTGTAAGGTAGGATTTGGAATTTAAAAACCAGTTGGACCAAGCCCCAAGAGCTGGGTAAAAAAGACCAAAAACTATAAGTTTTCTACGGAGGAATTTGGAATATTCAAAACTGTGCGTTACTCTCGTGCAAGCATGGGGTCACAAGGTTAGTTCTCAAACGCAGCATCCTAGTTTGTTTTTGTACTCCAACCAATAGTAGTATATAGCTTATGCTTATAACTTACTTGTTACTTGAGTGCTTAATATTCATACTGAAAATTAACAGTGATTGACATCGATGCCACCTAAAGTAACTATCCCAGTCTAACAAAAAAATGGAAAATAAAGGGAAAATGATAGGGGAAAGTAGACATTTATGGAGATGATATATATAATGGGGAAATCAAGTGGACTTGTCAATGGTGAACATAAAGAAGCTCAGCAGAGCAGTAGTACTGTGTGCATTGACCTCATCATTTGCTTTTTTATCCCTTTTATTACTTCGCTTGCTCATAATATTCTTTGTCAGCATTATATCTAATTCGTTTACGCATGCTTTCGCGCATCCATGCGAACTTTCTTTTTATACACAAATAATATGCATAATAAATAACAACCGCTTAACATGTTCTACGCTACAGGTCTAGCAGACGTTTTTAAGAGCAGTAAGAGTATATTCGTAAACAGGCTTCATATCCTGAAACACTGGGTACAAAAGCAACGGTTTGGTTTCTTAAATGTCTTGTGAATGCCGGTGGAATAAGAAAGAAGTCACGGGTTTTAAAGTCCCCAGACATCTAGTGTAGCCTGTAAAACTAGAAGGAATGCAAGTGATATATAGCATAAAATAAAGTATTTGCATGGAAATTAAAAGATAATTGTATGGGGGGATATACTTGCTTCTAGCAGAATTTCTGCTTCCTTGGGTAATATAGGGTACACAAACCTACTTGCTATAACAGCTGAGCGGAAGTAGTAGGTTACTTGCTACTGCTCCTTATTATCTTGTCAAGGAAGTTTGTTAAACACAGCTTTATTCATCTCCCTCGAGAACTTGTAGTTCATTGACGATTCGGTATGAATTGCTGCTAAAATCATGACTCCCTGAGATGTCTTTAAGTCATCTTGTAGTTTGTTGGCATTTTCGCTGTCCGTAGAAGGTAAGCGGTCACCATAAGTAATTAAGTATCATAAAGTCTGACCTCCGCCATATACGACTCCACAAAACGGTGTGGTGTTTGGTTAACAACACTAAGTCCGGAGTACACACTTTTCCGTATTTTCCGTATGTATGGTTTAATTTGTCCACCTCCATTCTAACACTGTTAGCTAACTCCAAGTAAGTAGTACTCATCAAGAAGTAAACCAGAAAATCAACAGTAAAAACGTCCTGCTGCGATTACTAACATTAACACGCAAGCCCTAATTACTTGGAATTATGCGTTGGCACTTACCCCCGACTTCGTAATCTTTTTGCATAAGCCTTTTTTTCACGCTCAGTCGTCAGTCAAAAAGGAAGTATATGGTAATACTTAAGGCATTAAGCAAATTATTATTTGTTACCCTTGAAAATTCTAAACTCGAAGAATCTCTACATCGTTTCACATGCAGTGCTTAAAAGACGTCTTGGATATGCTTTTTCCCACCGAAGACCTGCATGTAGCTCTATAGCTTCTGAGTGATAAGCACTACGGGATTTTATAACCTTTTCATGGTTGAACTTAGTGATCCCGTCAACGAAAAAGTCCAATAATGTAGTGGTGGTAACTTCCTCTTGAGCTGTTTGAAGAAGGAAATCGCAAGTTCTTTTAGTCATTATCAGGATTATACCTTGAATTACAAAGTATTAGCCGAAGTTACAACACCTCACACCACGAATTTAAGCACCAAGACGACCGCCAAGGATATGGGAATAAGGTAAGTCGTAAACAGTCAAAATGCAAAAAGGATGCTAAAACAAAGCCATATATCATATCGTGGTTAAGATAAAGATGAAGTTTGAATTCGCCTGCACCACTTCGACCAACTATGAATCACAACACCAAGATAAGTACCCACAATTACCTATTGCAACTGCCTTCTCTATAGTTCTTACTAACCACTGCTTACAGTCGTTGTGTAGGCTTATCATCGACGTATGTGCAACCTGCCGCTACTCATTGCACTCAGTTCGCTGAAACGTTGTCCCATGTATTCAAAAGTGCAAACAAAGGTGGTAAAATATACCTGCCTTTTTCACAATCATTTGCGCTTCCTACTAGTATTTTCACAGTGGACTAAAGATGAAGCCAGGATTCTTTAGAATGATAAATGTTTAACCGGTTCATCTCTAAAAGTAGCTTTAGCGTCCTCATCATCAAGCTGAGCTTGGGACGTCTCCTATATGTATTATTCCCATGTCCATTCAGACCCAAGCTTATAAATACTGGGACCACTACGAGGTTACTGTCCGTATACGTTCTCTAGAGGGTGCAGCTATTTTCAGAAAACCCTCTCAAACAACAACTGTCGACGATATTTTATCTGGGTACACGAATAAGTTGAGTTTGGTGCCCGATTGCTGAGACGATATCTTTTTGTCTTTGAAATTACTGTCGGCTGAGACTAGATGGTTATCTAGTCACAACTTACGCAGATGATTACTGTTATCAGTTTATTGAGATTCGAGGGTTTTGACTAGCAAAGGTTATTCGATTTGATGAAAGATGTGGACATTTAAACACTTCAACACGTTTAGCTTTTATTTGTGTCAATCTCAGTACCCAATATTCGACACTATTTGGTTAAGTTTTGGTCATAATTCATATTAACTTTCGTATTACTTCGCAGCAGGCCTTCAAAAAACTAGAGACGATTTCCTGTGAAATCAATTTTTTGTTATTACTGTGGAGCTATAAAGTATTCAAGATTTAGAATTAGTAACGATTGTAAGGAGATAGAATGCTGATGGTGATTAGACGGAGCTTGAGTAACGCGATATCTTCGAAAAGTAACATATTACGGCAAACAGGCAGAAAGATAAAAATCAACACAGAACCTTTCATACAAATGCATTGGTTCAGGTTGTCACACTTCATAGTACCATACAAAGAATAATTGAATAGAAAGAGACTGATATCAAATTAGACAAAGGTGTATGAGAGAAGGGACTTGAAATCCAAACTTTAGAAGACGTCAAAGAGTGAATACATCTGCACCATCGTGACCAATTTTCAGCCATTTCACCAAGAGTTCTCAACCACTGATTCCTATCGTCTCTCACATCCTACCCAGATAGTTTGCATTTTGTAAAGTTGTGGCTCATTGGCTTTTAACCAGTGGGTCATTAGTTCGAGCACCTCTCTACTTATCGAGGTTTGGGCAGCCAAGTAGTATCATTAGCCCGCACACATTTGTGGTTTATTGCCTACTGCACTAATGTGCACAAGGTAGTTGAGTGCATTTCGATATTTCTTCGAGTCTACATCTCCCCCACACTGCCCAGATCGGCAGTCAGAGACTTCATAGACTGGTGCCATGTCTTAGTCTAGTAACCCTGAGTCTTCCAACCTAACTTAACTTTGCTCGCATTTTGCCTCAAGGTAGATGGTGGCTAGGCATGGGTAATATACGTCCGGGTCGCTGTAGGTTCAAAACCTAATCGGCCGACTTGTCTTCTTTAGTACCCTTCATCTGACCTCGACATTGCTACTATGATGATCCCATTTTATGAAAGCATTGCTACAAATACACCTATGTTCCAAGATCTGTAACCACTTCATATATCTGCTTTAAACGGCTATGTCTCAACCGTATAGCAGGACAGTATGGACTGCAGCGCAGTGTACTCGTCCTTTAATAGGTAGTCGGTTATCTTACCAATCAGCACCAGAGATGCCGCGAGCTGGCGGGTTCCAGACAGGAGTTCTGTATCCTAGCTGGGATTTTGTCATCAGCTTTCCCGTTCTAACTGATGCAACCCCCCAATTAAGTGAACTGGTCGACACCCCGTATCATTGGACTGGGAGTAATTACAGACAAGTCCTGGAACATTATCTTGCATTTAACAGGTGCGAAACGCATGGCAAATGTGCTTAAGTTTCTACTCTAGGTGTTCAGGAGTACTTGCATTTTGTCAGCATCTTCAGTTAAAAGAACAATATCATCTATGTACTGCAAGTCAACCAGATGCCCTCAAGATAGAGGATCCACCCTTGTTAATTCAGATGTACCTAAAGTTATATCCACCAGTACACCTGTAACGATATTAAACAGGAACGGTAACCGCGCGTCCTTGGTGGACACCGCTAGTTGTCGTCCATTCAGATACGAACTCTTCGTAAGCCTGTGTGAGTTTGATTTCAGGGTCCTGACTGGCTTTACGTACTTGCACCCCACTCCTTTCATAGTCAACCATCGCCACGACACTTCACGGTTGACAGAGTCAAATGTCGCCTTCAGCTCAAGGAATACGGCAAATTTCTGGAATCAATAAGTATGCTCATATTGCAGAACCTGTCGTAGGGTAGGAATATAATCGATGCACCCTTGTCCAGCTGTCTGGGACCTGCCTGGTTTTCTCGAGTTCCACTCAGGGGTTGGATAGCTATAGACCCTAGGATCTTGGACACAATATTCGTCAAAATAATACCCCTATTTTTGGTTCAGGAAGAATTCTCTTCCTTCTTATAGACTGAGAGAACCAATGAAGTACACCAGCCTGATGGGACTACCTCTGATTCCCATACGCTACCTAGTGTCTATTCCACTCTTCGCAGTAATTCATCACTTCTTCCCGTAGTAACCTCTGGTGGCAGATCATCAGGTCCTGCCACTTTGCATAGCTTCAGATTAGAAACAGCCCCAACTTCATGGACAGTTTGAGGACCGACACTTACATCTCATTCAGGTCTAAGATCTTGTGAAACTGAAGCATTGCTATGGGCTACTTGAATCGGGTTTCAAAGTGTTCCATCCCACGTTCTAACCTCCTGTCTTGCGAAGTTATCAGAATACCATGGTTTCGGTGATGATTGCACTATTGTTTTCTTCTTGCTGGTATCTGCAATAAGGCTGAATAGTTTCCGGGTATTTACTTATTGCTGAGGTTCCCTTCATCCTTCTTTTGTCACCCACTGTTGCTTTGCCATCACTGTGAGAACTCTTGATCGACTTACATTTGAGCTGATTTCGCTCGTAATTCAAATAACAGCCTAATGAAATGGGTCTTTCTGGATCAATCAGTCCTGATAAGGTTAAGGTAGTCCATTGACGTTCACCGTCTCTATCGCTGTTTCTACAGCAGACTGCACATCATCCCAGGATAAGGATTGCTGTCACGTTCAAATAAGCCCTTAGCTCTCCTCCCTAAATATATAATTAGTTTCCTCACCTTCCAATGGATCTCGCACAGGTTTGACCACCGTATGTTTCCTGCGACCATTGAACCTCTGGATACTCTCAAAGTAAATTTTAAAGACTCGCCACATTGGTTAGGTGACTAACTACACTCGGGTCTTGTATAAGTGTCTCAGTATGTATCCATGGCTCGAGATTCCAGAGCTCTGGAGAGCGATGCCTGTTGTCCGATTTAGCATAGGTTTCGGATGTTGAAAGCTCCGATTTGAAATCGATATCGGAGTCTTAGGAGACTAGTAGTGGTGTTTAGACATCTTTGGCAATGTTCTCAGAGTGAGAAGTTGACGAAGTTGTAAGAGGTATCAGTAAGTGAAAGCAAAGAAGGATACAGGTAACGAGCATAGGCTGGCTGGACCTTGTATATTACTGTAAGCATGCGGATAGTTGATACTTCCTGGCTGCCCACACTGTGGAAGTTGTTTCTGCCGAGTACCTGGAAAAGAAAAAGATTTGTGACGACAGAACCTAAGAGGTCTGTCACAAAGTCTTTTTAGAATTGTTTGGTATGCGTTTAGATTGTTCTAACACCGAAAAGAAAAAGCTCATACCAACGGCACCGGAAGACCATGGGACCGAGAAATTTACTATTATTGGGGCCAGCCTTTTTTCCTTCACCCTTCGCACTGGTAAAGTAGCACCACCATAGTACTGCTGGTTGTCCGCGTAGAACACCTTTCTGCTATCACAACCCATTTACCCAGCAGTTCAACTTTGCCCTCGTATCACCACCATAGTGTAGCAGTCTACACTTTAACGGCAACTGCTTTTTATCTAACTTCTATCCAACAGACCTTTCTGACATGGTAGGACCTCTGGGGAACGAGCGTTCAAGTCAGTGTAGCTCGTTGGGTCATTGTAATGCACAAGCCTGATCGCCACATCAAAATAACAGCTATCGGTCAGCCACACTCTGTACAACCAGCATTACAACTTCGCCTTCAGATATCCACCATAATGTAAGTTGTTTGCACTGTAGTGGTAATTTATTTTAGACTTGCTACCGTTCCACTAATTTTTCCGGTATCATATGACCTCAAAAATATCTTACCAGCCAGCTTATGTCGTTGGGTTATTAAAACATTTTAATTCTACCACTATTTTAAGATGCAAGCGTTCATAGTAAAGATGGATAGTGGCTAGCGGTGGAATCCAGGATGCGCATTTTGTCCTATTTGGGACTCATCAGCTGGGTGTATCTGCCTCCCAGTGAATCCCGGTGGGGACAATATCACTTGCTGGAAGGCAGGTACACCCAGCTGACAAGTCCCAAATAGAACGAAATTCCCATTCTAGACTCCTTTGCTAGCCACTGTCCATCTTTACTATAATTAGAACACAGGTAATATCGAGGCTTCCGCACAGGAGCCCATATGCCAACAGAGACCGATCAATTTGGTCCAATCAGTGACGGTATATTACAAGCAATTATGCTAATAGAAGCGTTTAGTTGGAAATCATTTAAGTTGGTGAAAAATTGATAACATTTTAAAGATTTATTCAAATAGTATCCACTGACTGGAGATCCAGATAGTGACCATGTAAGTTGCACAAACGTAGTAACTAGGTTGGACCAAGTCCTCATATCGTTGAAGCGTCTAAACAATTCACTCATATGCTTCTCTCAGTTACATTCATAGTGATCAAAAATTCGTAACCGTAGGTTTGACCAAATATGTGAAAAAATCGTGATGACTGTTAAGGATACCTATATCCCTTACATTCCGTACTTACAATTATTTATTGCCTTTCAAGGTTACTGTAAACTTTGTAAATAGGGTCCGTTTTCACTAATGAACGTTTTCAGTTCGAGATACTATAAGCTCACCTGACTACCAGTTTTTTGATTTATCTTTACAAATCACTTGAGCTGAATATTCTCAACCCTCGACCAGCAATCGTTAAGTATTATCGTTCGTTCTTACAACTCCGCATCATAACAATGAGTCTCAGTTGCTTGTTTTTGTACTTAAGAAAGATTAACTAAAATGGCTAGAAATCTTTCACAATGGCATTTGAGCATCCCATATTTAATTTTCTGAAGTCTAAGTAGCCTGGAACTATGTATTTGTATCTATTTGTTGATTTCTGTCTATTTCCTTCCCATAAGCGCTTTATTTCGACCTTATAGTTCTGTTGTTACCTTTCCTTTATGCTGTTGCTAAGCTTGCTAAACGGACTTCATATTAGTCGTTTTACTTATTGATCTAAGTAGCCAGAAATGTCGAAGGTATCATGTTATGGATTGGCGTCTAAATTAGCATATTCAGTTCAGTGACTATATACTTAGTTTTTCCACGATATGACAAACCAATTTGCGAGATGATAGCACTATAGGGAATATTTATGCCGGTGTAAATAAATTAGGTGCCATAGCCACAGTATGCGGTTTTATGAATTACACCGTGAGAAACGTGGATTGTTTGAGTGCTGATGACTAGACCCCAAGTTCTGGCAGCTGAACTGGCTTTTAACCCATGGCACTGACTTTTCTGGAAATTAAAGTGATGCATGACACATCTGTGTGATGATTATTCAAAAGACGAATTTTATATCTGTTTGCACTCGAGTTATCCATGTCTCCAAAATTCATTTTAAGTGACCGTATTTATTTACTGGAGTGATATTGTTACCTATATAATGTGGACGGATGTCTACTTAATATTGCACAATTATCAGACATCCTGCCATCTAGTGTCGATGAATTTAAGGTTGTTTTGTCTACTAAGGCACATGTAGTGCACACCAATTAGTAGTCACGCCGCATTAATTCACTGTACTCAGCTCTTTTTAGTGATGGTAGGCAACTTCCGTTGTAGTGCCCGATTTTGTGTTTAAGTAATCTATCACCTTAGGACATCAAATTAATTGCTCTGGTAGCGTATATTAAAAGTATTGAAGTATTAATGTGCTGAATTGTTTTACATGTAGGATTACCTGTTTTTAGTTCATGAGCGTGAGTATGACTCATTTCTTTCCAAAAAACAATCTGAAATCTACATTATTGTTTTTTAGACGACGAATTCGTTGTTCCTCATATGGATATTTCTTGTTTGCAGAATTCAATAGCTTATCAGAAGGTCCTTGAAGAACCATGGACTTACCTTCATAATTGGAATTCCTTAGCTCCTAGTGTCCAACAAGAGGTGGCTCAGAACTTCTTGAGCGAACTAAGCTCACTTAAAAGCGAGACGGCGATTACTCAAGGTGTCTTTGACCCTTCCATGTTTGTTAACCAGGATTTTTCGTGTAATTTAGTAAGTGAAAAATCAAAAAATATTCAATGACATCTTTTTGCTACTTATATACAATATTTCTTCAACCTATATCTATACACATTACTGTACCAACTCATTCTGTTAGAGATCAAAAAGGACTGCATAACAATAAAATTCTAAACCATAATCTTATCTAAAAGCGACCCAAGTCTATTAATATTGTTTGTCTATGTCATGCACTTCTGTAGAAAACGTCAAACGGCAACTTTTGCAAATAGCCAGTCATTGTGAAAAGTGAAGGTATGATTGACACTCATTCCTTTAATAGAAGTGTGCAAATCTAGTGTAATCTAAACTTGGAGCTGATAACCTTCCAGTCAGTTGAAAATGCAGTTATTATAAGGATTGATTAAAGTAAGACTGAAACAATCGCCTGAAACGATATACCGCTGCTAGGGAACTGCTAACTACCTAGTTTGTAGACATAACAGATAGGATAGAGGCAGACAGTGTTTATTTATGGTTGAGAACAAGAATTTTACAAACCTGAAGTGTCATAAGGAAAGGTTCTGGCAATCTACTGGTCTTGTCGTTTAAAAATAGTAGTCGAACATTAGCTGTGACAGCCAAACAGTTTGGTAAGTTATATCAGACAGTTTAATCGACAAAACCACAATCATCACTGATTATTGCTTCATAAAAAAGCAAAAGTTCAGTTACAGAAATATAAAAGATTAGTTCAGTTGGTCGTAAAGCCTTAGGATCAAGGTCTTTGGGATATGTAACAGGTGTTTGATACGAAAAGAATCAGTAGTTAAGGGCTCTTTATAAAATGTCTGAAAATCGGACACAGTGGCGCAGATGTATCCGCATCTTGACGTCTTATAAAACTTGGATATTTGCTGTGACGTTTATCTTCAGGTTGCTTATTCTCTCAGACAACTTCGTCTACTTTGATATCAGTGTTTTTGTATCCACTTGTTATTTGTATATTACTGTGAAGTGTGACAACTTGAACAGATGTACTTATGCACGTGGTTCTACGTTGATTTTATCCGTCTATCTGTGTGTCTTCAGAATACCTTCAAGTGAACTATACTGGAAAATATGTTTGTTATTATTTCCCTTCATACTCGTAATTGTGTAATTTAAGTGTAGTAGTCGGTTGGATATTCCGTCATACTGTTTTAAAAATGTATAATGAAACCGAACTTTTTATATTCAAATTAAAGACTCGATTCTACAAATTTGAGATGTGTATGAGAACTAACTGTAAATTAATACACGAACTCACTACGAAAACATTTCATCAACAACCACCGTTCATTATCTTAGGGTTTACTGATGTCCTTCTTTGAGTAATTTATTGTCTCATATCTTTATCAAGCTCACTTTCTGTAAATTGTCAGTGCATAGATCAAAAGTTTAATGACGTATGGGGTGCACTTTCCCACATTCAAACTGTCTAAATGGGTTCACATCCGCACTTATTATATTAGATGGTAGCCCAGTTATTTTTTTAAATAGCTGTTTCACTTGTTGGGGGAGAGTTTCGGTTAAAATGTATGGGATTGTTTGCATTCATTAAATCGTATCACTTTCAGTATTAGTATCAAACATGTATCCGCTAAGAGTATATTTTGCAGTACATAGATGTACTGGTTTCTAGTATACAAATATGTAAGCGATCAACTTTCTACATATCAGACAAGAAGTAATCTGTGAGATCAGCTAGAATCAGATAGCTTCAGTCACCGAGTAATTTATTTGCATCTGTTCAAACAAGTTTTTTTTCCAAAAAGTGATAATTGTTTCTCATTTTTTTCCATCTGTTTCTTTAGGTTTTAGAACAAAGTCAAAAAGAAAGTGCTTCAACAATTCATGAAGACAGCAAATAATATGATCACTTAGTTTTTTTCAGTCTTTTCAAATAAAGTTTTCAAAAAACAAAAAGCAATTCTGTTTTCCTCTGTATTTAAGAGAAGAGTGATTGTCACTTTAGTGATGCGTACTACGTGATCATCGTTCTTGACACCGATTTCAAAGTTGGGATCACCTTTACACATATTAGTATGTGTCACATAAAGCTGGTGAATCGAAAGCAACCGAACAGTCTGCAGTGAATTTCTGTATTATACAATAAGTAATTCTTTTTAAGCATGAATCTACATTAGTGGTCAGTCTACTTGAACGTTATTTATACGATAGTGTTCAGAGAAAACTGATGATCGATCAGTGAGTTACTCTTATGTTGAAAAAATGGATTAACCACTGTTTCACAGTCTCTAATGAAAACAACAACTCAGGTGTCATCGCTCATCTTAACATCTAGTTGTATAAAACGATCGTTAATATTGGTCTGGGATTCCGAAAGTACTGCTTAAGTGCCTTTATACTTGACTCAGTTCTCCCATTCATTAATTGAAGTCGTCTGGTACGATGATCACATCTGAGCATTTGACTTTTGGTAAATGACTAGACAGTTTTCAGTAGAAACATCCTACTCTTTATCCAAACTACCGTCAATATGTACAGTCATGTGTTTTGGTTGTCTCATTAGCTGTAACCAGGAAGCCAACGTAATTGTGATGTGCAGACAGAAAATAAGCCCAATCAAGATGCTGAGAAGAGATTACTGACAGCTATGGGCAATTGTGACAACCTAAAATGCAGTATGATAATACTTGGAAGCAATTAAGTATTTATGTAGAATATGCTGCATGAGCGTAGTCCATTTTTGAGTTTATGTAAATGTTATTCATAAACCAAAGTATTTTGATATCCCAACAGTTCTTTTAGTGAATACTAATTCTAGTGAGTAGGTTGTATATTTTTTGAAAAATAATTAGTTTGGAAACGTTGAATTGTTTTCTAGTGAGTTGAAGAACATACAAACAATTGTGTTCTTACTCCCCACTGATGACCCACAACTCCATTGTACTTTTCACGGTCGAAGTAAACTTCACCCACTTTGTGCTATACTATATTCATCTCTACTCCATATCACGATTCAATTGGATGATCATAAAGGTCACCTTCTGTACCAAACTTGAATGTTAGCGTAAAAAACTTAATATCAGATTCATACTCTTGAAAAGATCGAATAACAATGATACTAAATATCTGTTTATTGTTTTCGTTCTAATGTACTACTCCAGAATTACTCAAATAAAATACACCTTTTGTAATGAATTATCATCTCTTTTTCACATTCAAATGTAAGTAGGTACTACATGCTTCCTGTATGAACCAACATTTACTCGATAACTAACCTTTTGAGAAAAGGTGTTTGTTTACTTTCTGGTTTTCATCACAAATTTACTGATTACAGTGAGTTGCTGAGCTCCCAAAAGCATTCTGCAACAGAAAAAATGGGTATAATAGTGAATTAACTATCATTTACCTTCATTATCATATGTCCTATCGGAAAGAATTACAGTTCCCCTAATTTCAACAAGGAATCACTCATGGTAAACAAGTTCATTAGATCTGTTTTCGTTTAACCTTTTGCACACGGTCATTTCATCTTAACCACACTTCTAAATCGCAAACATTCAGCGTCTAGCTTTGTTTAGAAAAACCCATTTTTGGCATAAACCAACTGGATACCTTTTATCTTGCTACTCTATCTAACTTTATCTAGTGCTAAATGAACTTGAAAGCTAAGCTTCCTACGTATTTTGAAATAAAAACGCACCATGATAATGTAAACATCAATTCATTTACTGAATAGAGCATTTTCTATATATGTTAGCTGGGATTTTGAATTAAACAGATGTGAAAATCCCAGCTAATTTTTTAATCATTGTATAAGAAAAATGTTATCTTGGTAGGAAAGTTCCTTTACCAAAACTCAAACCACTATGGAACAGCGAAAATGTGCTGTTGAGTGAGGTTATCTGCATGAAGTGCCTCTCAGCGAGTATGGAAATCAATGTAAAAGTGAACATGGAGGTTTGTAGGGATTTGTTTATTAAGTTCAGGTTGATGTTCATCATGAACTGACATCAGTTAGAGAAACACTGGGAGCCCTGGACATCTGTTTCGTCCTAGAATGGGACTCTTTAGCAGTGCGCGCACGTGACCCCTTCACGGATCAAACTGAACTCAGAGAAGTAGGAAATATAGAGCATTGGATTCCGACGCAGTGACTCAGCGGCAACTTACTTGCCGCGGAACCCGAACGTCTTGGTTTCGATGCCTGGCGCAGTCATGGGTGCTGCGGAGTCCCAAAATAGAACGAAACAACTGTTCAGTGCTTCTAGGTTTTCAATGTTTCCCCAACTGATGTCAGTTCGTGATGAATATCAACGTGAAACTGTCATACGACTCATATTCTTATCAAGTAGCCCAACTACTCATTTAAAAAGGTCGAAATTCCAGCTCAAATGTGTATTTTTTGGAGAATCGATTGAGGAGAAAATATTTTTCACCATCAGATTAATTGACTCCATCAAAACTACTCAATTAAACAGTAACTTGGTGAGCATTATTAACTGATTTCTAGTAGAGTCGCTGAATCTCTAATGGAAATTTTCCATCTTCGAACTGAAGCAGGTTAGTTGTAAAGTGGATCTTCTCCGATGACACTAAATCGCAGCCAGTTTATCTTGATGCTGACTTTAAATGTAAACCACTGGATTCACACTGTGACTCGAAGGTGAATTCCTCATAGTGATACTCTGCGGTTCTGCATTCCATTGTGTGTATCTTTGTGGGTAGGCGCTGCTCAAGAATCTACTGCTAAGAAGAAGAAGCATTCCACTTCTCAGTATTGTTTATTTGATGCGGAAGGTATTCTTACAACTTTACTGAGAGCGACACTTCCATAAAACGGGGATTGGAGGAATATGACTGAACGTTTGTGGATTACACGTAAGACCAGAGTAAAAATATGACATCAGTTCTTATGGTAAGCCTAAGTTTTATCAACGCAAAAGTTCAAGATTTTTAACAGTTGGTTCTCATTTCTAATTTAACATCTAGTTATCAGTTTACTGAAGATCAGTGTTTTGTGCGAACAAAGCATTCGACCATGTCCTTGAAAATGCAATATATCTATGCTGTGAACTTGAATATACAGGAATTTGAGTTCATTTATAATTTACGATATGGTTTCAGTCTCCTCATTTCAGAAAGGCAAAGGTAAACAAAATAAGAAGGGGTATAATTCCAAACTGATCCAAGTTTTTGAACTGGACAGAGAAAATCAACAGGATAACTGTTATGTAATTAACTGTATGAAAAGTCATGCAAAAACTATAACAACGATAAATGATAATTGTAATTAGTAAGATCCTTACCGTTAAGATTACAGCGTTTATGCATTTGCATCATTGCGAATCACATCACCAGTAATCGATTTTGTGTGTATCATGAACTCCGATTGAAATTATCACGTCAGGATATCATGTATCTCTCAACATTATTTCAGTTTTAGCGAACCGAATACAATGTAGCACATTTGAGTGGAAATTATTTCAGTATATGTGACGTCCACCAAAAACCTTAGACGATGATGATAATCTCACCAACTGGCCTAATAACATGCAATCAATATTCAAATCATGATCCCACCACACGCTGACAATATCACAAAGGTGACAGAAATCGAATACTGAAAGTTTTCTTAAATCTCCCATCTATAATAAGGATTTCACAGTCAAGTAAGCAGACTTAGTATGCTATTGGACAGTGCGCTAGCCTCTTGATGGATGTTCGGATATTCCACCAGTGCAACGATCAGTGTAGGATGGCTTATGTTAAGTTAGACCTACTCTGCCGCCGAGCTTATGTTAACAACTAGCCTACTAGGATAACCAAGAATTATCAGATAATTGAAGAGGTCACCACGCTCAATTTCTTTGTTTTCCGTTGTAGTTCATTCTGAACCTGTAGTTTTCGATTTGAAAGTAGAATTTATTCAGGTGTTTAAAGGACTATGTTTTGTGTTTGTCTTCACTTCACAGAACTCTGTTATTTGTACATTGATGTAAACATTCCCATTCAGTGTAAAGTTTCTCCGTTGTTATGTATAATGAATACGCTTAAATTAGAAAGTAATATGTTTGTGCGCATTTATTGATTTCAGGTTGGTATTCATCATGGACTAACATCAGTCGGAAGAATATTGGAAACCTGAAGTCACTGAACAGCTGTTTCATATTAGTATGAGACTCCTCAGTGATACTTACCGATGACTGCACCAGGTGTCCATCCAAGAGCCTTCTATTCTCGCGGCAACCAGATTACTGTTGAGTCACTGGGTCAGAATATAGTGACCAATATTTTCCTACTTCTATCAACTTGCGATATAGCATGACCCTGATTCACCGCCTTTCGTTGAGTATTTGTCCTCACATCCGGTGGGGTAAGCCGTACGCTAGGTCGAAACAGCTGTCTAGTGCTCCCAGTCTTTTAATATTTCTCTGACTAATCTCAGTCGTAATGATTGTCAACTTGAAATATATTTCTGTTGCATTTGCGTTTTAGTCACTTAATAGTGATAAACAGAACGTAGTAGTTTAGTACTAAATTAGTGTAAATAACCTGCAGTTTATTCACATTAATCTTTTTTATGGTTGACGGGTGGTTCTGTCAACTGAATCGCCTTGAAACGAGTTGCCTTGAGTAAAATTTTGCGAAACGTTTTCGTATTAAATTTGCTGGTCAAATTTGACTACGTATTGCCTGGAGATTTTATACTCGGGTGTAAAAAGAGGTGTATATTCTACGTAGCGGAAATAATCCAAAAACTTTTTTCTAGTTTCTTTTCAGTTCAATACAGTGGTATTAGATCTGATATATCCTGTATAGAAAAGAAGATTTATTCTGCCTTTCACTGATGTCCGTCACTGAAGTATGTCATATATAGTGCTTGCTGGTTGGAGAAAGTTGACAGAAGCCCCAAAACCAGAGTCTCTTACGTATTAGAAACAAAC